GTTAAGTCGAAGATGGGCAAAATCGGCCCACTGTCACGCCCACAAAATGGCGGAAACCGGAAACTTATAAAATGCCAAAACTAAGCCGTAAATAAAGATATTAAAATGAAATTTGGCACAAAGGATCGCACTAGGGAGTGGCATATTTTTACGTAATTTTTTTGGAAAAGTGGGCGTGGCCCCTCCCCCTACTAACTTTTTTGTACATATCTTGAAAACTACTATAGCTATGTCAACCAAACTGTACAGAGTCGTTTCTTTTAGGCATTTCCATATACAGTTCAAAAATAGAAGAAATCGGATTATAACCACGCCCACCTCCCATACAAAGGTTATGTTGAAAATCACTAAAAGTGCGTTAACCGACTAACAAAAACGTCAGAAACAATAAATTTTACGGAATAAATGATAGAAGGAAGCTGCAGCCATCCTTTTTTTTAAAATTGAAAATGGGTGTGGCGTCGCCCACTTATGGACCAAAAACCATATCTCAGGAAGTACTCAACCGATTTCAATGAAATTCGGTATATAATATTTTATTAACACCCTGATGACATGTACCAAATATGGGTGAAATCGGTTCACAACCACGCCTGAAATCTCCATTATCACTTTATCATGCGAGACTATAAAATGTTCGGTGACACCCGAACTTAGCCCTTCCTTACTTATTTTTTCATGGGTTTACTTATTAATTAGCATTCTAGTCAACCAAAACACACTAATTTGTCATTTATGGACACATCAGCTGAGACGTACCAATATTTAAATATAGTATGTATGTATTTACATACATGTAGATAGCGTGTCTTAATTAGAAGCACAAATAAATGTCAGTAGATTTCTATACTTAGGTGGGTAATTTGTACGCATTTGCGATGTATAGTACAAATATTTAACTCTTCAATTCGATTGCAATGAGGTCTAAAAACATGGTCGTAAAAAAGTAAAATGTTAAAAAAAAAAAAGTTTTGGGAGAAGAAGGGTTATTATGGAATTATAATCGGTGATGGTAGGTTATTTCAGAAATTGCAAAATTCCTAGTTATTGTTGTTGTAAAAACTAGTTTGACGAGTAGAAGACAAGAAATTACTATAGTTAGATTTATGCAGATGTGTTACAACTTAGGGGTGAATCTGGATATTGACTAAAAGCGAACGCCTTTTTCAGCGTAAACAACAATAATATTTTTCACTCAAATATGCCGAACTTTGCGCCTAAACAAATAATTATATGGTGAATTCTTCTTTATTAAATTAATAGGAAAAAATTTCCGGTAGAGGTTTTTGTATTGTGGTGAGTATTCTCTTGCTAAAGGAAGGTGATAAAAGTGGTTCAATGTGATGATTTTGATTTGGAAGACCAAGAATATCCTAGGCGGATACAAAAGTTTGAAGATCAGTCACTGAAGATTTGTTGCCTATCACAATAAAAACTGGCAGAATCTCTGAGAGTCACTCAAAAAGTCAATTCAAAGACAAACGACGTTGAAAGATTATTTTGCATGTTGGAGATGGTGCTTGAACGCTACAAAAGGAAGTCATTTTTGTGTCGGATTGT